TTCAATTTGATATTTCAAAACAAGCATTAATATTATTGTCATCAAAAATATTTATATATAAATTTTACATATATGAATGTGAAAATACACATGTACAGATATATATATACACATATATATACACATATATATATACACATATATATAATATATACATATATACACATATATATATATATATATATATAATGTCATGTATTTTTCAGTGATTCAATAGAGATTCACCTGGTAGTACCCTTCCAGGGATTTGGGAACATACCAATGAATAAAAACAGGCAAAATATTTCCTATCTTTCTAGAGGAAAGGAGGCAATGAATAATATATCTGATAAATAGAAATATTATACAGTATAGTGAGCTAGAAAGGTAATTTTGTGTTATGGAAAAAATGCAACAGGATAATGGGGACCAGAGAGAGTGGTAATTTTAAATAAGGTGGTCAGGTTAGACCTCCTTGAGATAGTGATACCTGAACAAAGACAGGAAATGAAGGAGTTAGCCATTTGAATATTTGGAGAATGACTATTGCAGAAGAGGTAACATCCAGTGCAAAGACCTTATTGCAGGTACATCTGCAGTGTAATTGGAAGAGAGTAACTAAAGAGGAGAATGATAGATTAGGTCAGGTAAGTAATGTAATGAGGCAATGGAACAGGCAGGGTCAAACTAGGCCATTGCAAGATTTTAACATTGAATAAAATGGGATCCTCTGAAGAGTTTTGAGCACAAAAGTTACATGATCAATTTAACTTTGATTTTAAAAAGGATAATTTGGGCTGCTGTGTTGAGAAACAAGACAGAAAGAAAGAAACAGTAGGTTATTGCAGTAGGTGAGAGACCATGGTAATTCAGACCAAGGGCAGTAATAGAGATATCGAATGTCTTGTTGATAAAATGTGAAGATAAAATCAGCAAACTTTCCAGATTGATTAGATATGGCATATGGTTGGAAGAAAAGTGTCAAAGATGCCTCACAGCTTATCTGACAATTGGGAAAATGGAATTGCTATCAACTGAAATGGGAAGATGATGGGAAGTGCAGTCTTACTCTAGGAGAGGGGCTGATACCTAGAGTTCAGTGCTGGACAGATAAGTTTGAAATACTCAAGTGAAGATATTGAGTAGGCAGTTGAATACAAAAGAGTCCAGAGTTCATGGGAGAGAGCTAATCTGCAGATATAAATCTGAGATTCATCAAAATATAGATGGTATTTAAAGCCCTAAGACTTGATAAGATCACTCGGGGAGTGAATGAAGATAGAAAAGCAAAGAGGAGAAAGAACTGACCTCTGCATAGCTACAAGACTAAGAGGTAAATGAGAAGAGAAAGCACTAGCCAAAGAGACTAAGATGAAAAGGTTATTGAGGTAGGAGGAGAACCAGGAGAGGGTGTGAGCCTGTAATCCAAGTGAAGCAAGTGTTTTGAAGATGAGGCAATGACTATGTGTGTCAAATCTGCTGATAAGTCAGTTAATGTGAAAACTAGTTATTGACTATTGGATTTAGCAAAACAACCTAATAATTAACAAAGCACCTTTTAAAAAATATTATATCATTTAATTCACAAAGTTGGTGTGAGGTAATATTTAACTTTTAGAACTATTTATTGATTTGTAGAAAGGTTGCTGAACCGGTAAATTACATAACTAAGAGAGAACTCAGGTACTCTGATTGCAAAGTCCGTGTTTTTTGATGAAATCCTATTCTGAAACAGAAATATAACTATGTTTATTTTGCAAATAGATATCAAATATTGTTAGAAATTTTATTTGACATATCAATTTTGCCTTGAGAATAGTTATATTTATCAGTGTAATTTACAAACCAACAGTACCTTCTTCTATTACCTCCTGGACAAGTAGGCCATAACAAACACATCTGCCTGTAGCTAATGTTTCTACTCAAATATTCTGACTCTGATGAAAACCATAGAATAGGTACTACAATGAAAACAGAGAATGTGAAATTTTTTTCTGAAGTTTAATTTTATTTGGACTGCAGGCTATAGTTTGTTTGCATGGTCTATTGAGAAAACTGGCAAACTGTGGGCCTGAGGGCCAAATCAGCCTGCTGCCTAATTTTTAAGATAAACTTTTTATTAGAACAAATCCATAGTCATTCATTGACATACTGCCTTTGGCTATTTTGTGCCATGACAGAGTTGAATAATTACAGTGAAGACCATATGGCCAACAAAGTCTAGAATATTTATTGCTTGGCCCTCTACAATATGCTTACTCCTCATATAACCCAAATCAGTAACAACAAGAATGTCTCATAGTCTTGGACTTCTTTCTGTGTCTAATCATTTACTAATAATGGCTTGCTTCTATGTATTTATTTGTATTTTTAAGTCATTCTGCATTTATTCTTTCATTTCATTCTCAGAGTATTGGTGAATAGGGTATCTTAGCCCGTTCAGATTGCTATAACAAAATACATTAAGCTGGGTAAATGAACAACAGATATTTATTGCTCACAGTTCTGGAGGCTGGGAAGTCCAATATCATGGCACTGGCAGATTGGGTGTATGGTAAGGGCTTGCTCTCTGCTGCATCCTCTCTGCTGCTCTCTGCTTGCTCTCTGCTGCATCTTGCTGCTGCATCCTCACATGATGGAAGGGGCAAGGGAGCTCTCTCAGGGCCCTTTTATAAAAGCACCAATTCCATTCATGAGGTTGGAGCGAATATGTTTGGTTCCTTTTAGGTGCCAACATATGAATTTGGGTGGTAGACACCAACATTTAGACCACAGCAGTCAATAGGGCTTATTTCCATGAGCCAAACTGCAAAAGAGATAAGGGAAAATGAAAACTTAAATATTTATTCATTTTTCAATAATAAACTCAAGGATCAGGTCCTGTAAGAAGATTTTCCAAATCCCTCTAGGAAAAAAATTATCACCCCACTTACTTTTAAAATCTGAATTATATTTTGGAGAGGTTTCATTCAAGCACCTATAATACTTTATTGCACTTTTTGTTAACTTGTTTTTTCTCATCTAATAGCTTGTAAGCTCCTTGAGTGTAGGGACTTATTAAATTTAACATCTATTGAGTGTCAATTTGTGCCAGGCATGTGCTAAGTCCATAAAAACAATTATTAATAAGATACATATGGCCTTCAAAATACATCTAGTGTAATAAAGGGGATAAATAAATGGAGAAATTATCAATATATAAATTAAGAAGTACTATAAAAAGGGAGATATTATCTAATCCAGTTTAGGTTCCTAGGGAAGATATCTTAGAAGAATTGACATCTTCCATGAAGGAAGATTAGAAGTATCCAAGACAAGGGGAGAGGGTCATTCCAGGTTAAATTACAAGCAAATGTTAAAGCACTTCTGTGTTTGGGGAACTAAATACATAGGAAGAAGTAGAGTGGAGTGGCAAAAAACTAAATTGGAGAGGTGAAATGGGACCAGATGATGAAGGGTCTTTTATGACATGTTGAAAATATTGGATTTGGTCTTTAAAACTATGTGAAGGTCTTAAAAACTATACTGAAGAAGTATAAGAAGGACAATTATGTGACCAGATTTACACTTTAGAAAAGCGGCTATGACAATGGTATGGAGTGGATCAAAAGAAATCGATCATACAGCAGCCAAGTGAGAAATAGCGAGGAGCTTAATCAAGGTTGTCATGTATAAACAGAGAAAAAGGGACAAATTTTAAAGATATGAAGGACCTAGGAATAATAAGACTTATATTGGAAGTGAAAAAGGAATCATGGCTGACCTTTAGGTCCCTGTCTTGGGCAACATTTACATTAACCACAAAGGGAGAATGTGTTTGAAGGATGGGGAGTGAGAAGACGTATGTTGAATTGTAGGTGTTTGTGGGAAATTCAAATGGACATAAACAGTTGGACATATCAGTCTGAAACTCAGAAGACTTATCTGTGTGGAAATAAAGACCTCGGTGTAGTCAACATTCATTTAACAAATATTCATTGAGTGCCCCCATGTATGTGCCAGGCATTATTTTAGTCCTATAAAGTTGAATCCTTCAAATTCAGTCATTGGATGGATAAAGCAAGAAGACTATAAAGACTATAGACAGAACCCTGTGGAATACCAGTATTTTGGAGGACCGAGATAACTGGATTTTCAAGTCAGAAAAAAAAAAAAAAATTCAGAGGCAGGTATAGAACCAGCGAGAAAAAACAAAACAAAACAAACAAACAAAAAAAACTTCCTGACTCTGGAGGCACTGGTAAATTAATATACTGAAATACTTATACCTAGAGTAAGAGTTGAAAGAGTTAGGAGCCTAGGAGATAGAGGACAGAGTATAGAAAATTGGGATTTGAGAGCTCACAGACCATAGCTTATTCATTGTCCCTCCCTCCCTGATTCTTTCAGTGCTATTTACCAAGCTCTCCTACTGTGTACCAGCATTATGCTAGGTGCAAAATACGTGATGGTTAGCAAAACAGAGTCCTGGTTTGGCTAGCAAAACAGATTCCTGGTCCTCATGGGACTTTATGGTATAATACAGAAAACAATAAGCACATAAACAAACAGTATTTATGTAATATGTATACTATGAAAAAACCAAACAGGGCTCTATGATACAGAAAAATAATAGGACCTATTTAGAAAGGCCTGATATTCGAGAATTGAAGAGGTGCAAGGAGGAAAAAATATATGAAGCATTTATTAATGTATTCTCTGTTCCTATAATATTTTTGGTACATACAGATAATTTTTCAGTGAGTAATAAATGAAACAGTAAGGAAATTGATATAATTATTTTCTATTATCCAACTACTACAAAATGTAAAGAGATAGATATAAACCTTGAAAAACATCATAAATGAACATTTAATACAATATAAAAGTTGTCCACTTGCATACTTTTAATTTCAAGGACAATTATCAATTTTTGCTTTTCATTGAAACTAAGCCAAGCTTAGCAAGTTATGTTAAAAATGCAGATATAATTTAATACAGCAAAATTATCATAAGAATTGATTTTCCTTTTTGTTATTTTGTAACATTAGAATGGTTTTATTCCAACCCTTCCATTCCTTCTATTAGCTATTGTTTGATTTTTTTAGAGGGGTATTTACTCTTATAATCCTCTTTTCAGCACAGCCTTGTGATTCAGTTTAGCCAAGTGTTTCTTAAAGTTCTCTTGAATACCAGTCCCATGAAGTGCTCCACCTAAAAATTAAATAAAAATGTTTTTAATAATTAAATAAATCTGAAAAATATGCAGGATATGCTATCCCCCTGTTTAAAAATGACACTATACACTATTGTTTAAAGGTTTTTGCAAAGGCCTATAGGAGAGAAAATTCTGGTATTTCAAAATTCTGTTTTCTCAAGTTAGTCAATTACACAATGCTTTAAAAAAAAGATTATGTACCTAACGTATTTCAGAGTATTCTTTAAGAAGTACTGCTGCAAATGGTTGCTTAAAGTTCTAGGTTCTTTACTAATCTCTGAATGGTGTTGACTGAAAATGGCTTAAAATGTTGAGTTTCATTTGAGGGAATTTGTTGAATAATTTTTTTTTTTGAGATGAAGTCTCACTTCATCACCCAGGCTAGAGTGCAATGGCACGATATCGGCTCGCTGCACCTCTGCCTCCTGGGTTCAAGCAATTCTTCTGTCTCAGTCTCCAAAGTAGCTGGGATTGCAGGCATGCACCATCATGTCTGGCTAATATTTTGTATTTTTAGTAGAGATGGGGTTTCACCATGTTGCCCGGGCTGACCTCAAACTCCTGATGTCAAGTGGTCCACCTGCTTCGGCCTCCCAAAGTGCTGGGATTACAGGTGTCAGCCACCATGCCTGGCCTTATAAAAAGTAATTTCGAAAGTAAAATAATTCAATATATAAAGGCGTGACTGCAGTTGCAGCATAATGGGTCATGATGAAGACAGTAGCAAGTTGGAGTTTGATTGAAAACTTTCCCAAATCACCGTCATTGCCATTCCACTATAGATACATAAACAAATTAACCCCAATAGAAAAGCACTTGCCTGATGTGACTCATAGAAGGCACTTACCTGATGTTACTCAGCTATTTAAAAACCCTGAGTACTCTTTTTTCTGTGTACTTTTCCTTAACACCATTTCTGAGTAAGAATATAGAATATGTCTAAATTTGTATTCAAACACGTCTACATTTTTCTCAACAAAATAGAAAGATTATGCGGTTGAAGGTCAAAGTTAACAGCAGCATAATAATGTCTTTCTTGTGCAATGTTATTTTTCCCCACCAAAGTAAATAATCATGGGTTTAATTGTTATTTCAGGTGGCATCTGCCTATTTCAAGGATTTTCACCTACTGCTAATTGGAGTTATCTGTTTAGCAACATCCATAGAAAAATGGAATTTGCACAAGAGAATTGCTCTGAAAATGGTGATGATAGTCGGTGTAAATCCTGCATGGTAAGTACTGCATTTACTGCTTCCAGTTTACCTGATGAACAAACCATTTTTGTGCATAGCAAATAACCAAATAAGTAATTCACGCCCAGGAAATTCTTTGTATCACAGTCAGACTTAGGACATTTTTTTTCCTCTGCAAATATGAAAGTGATACAAAGTGTACTTGAGTTGTAGGAGGGGAAAAAAAACAACTTTCACTGCAGGTCTAGTTACAGGGTGGTTGGAATACGTGCACACAACTTTCTCATCTTTTATGCATCATAGAAGTCAAAGCTGAGAGAAGCTTTGAACCTCAACAGATAAGATTGATAGACTTCAGAGTAGATTTTCCTCCTATCTCGTTTATTTGGCTGATTACATATTCAGAACTAATTCAAGAGCGTCCTTTATCATCAGGGAGGATGTTACAAACCAAAGACAAAGACATTACTGACAAAATACAAATGTGTGAAGAAAAATTCCAAGGTGAATATTTTTCTTTTTAAACCAACTGTTGCAAAGTGAAACAATCAATTAAGACATTTCATCTATAGAATATGAAATCACTCATTTGACTGATAAAATTAATTGACTATTTTGGTTTTATTTCACCTCTTGCTAAGAACATGAATGTAAGCTAAAGAAAATTTCCGTTGTCATAATCATTTGCATAGTGGCATTTTGCATTAAATCCTTAGGTGTTTCTTCCCTTCTCATCTTTCTTTGAAAATCAGAATATTATATTGACTTATATTGCATAATTCATTCTAGGGCATAGCCACATCTGTGTTTTCATTTATGGTGCAAATTGTTTTGCTAAATACAAAAAAAAAAAAAAAAAAATCAGTGACTCAGATGAGACAAATTTTCAATTTTTTTTGACTTAAAAACTGTATAACACATATGTGTTTAAGACATATTGGCCGGGTGCGGTGGCTCATGCCTGTAATCCCAGCACTTTGGGAGGCCGAGGTGGGCGGATTGCCTGAGGTGGGGCGTTCAAGTTCAGCCTGGCCAGCATGGTGAAACCTCGTCTCTACTAAAAATACAAAAATTAGCCAGGTGTGGTGGCAGGCACCTGTAATCCCAGCTACTCGGGAAGCTGAGGCAGGAGAATTGCTTTTACTTGGGAGGCGGAGGTTGCAGTGAGCCAAGATTGCACCATTGCACTCCAGCCTGGGCAACAGAGCAAGACTCTGTCTCAAAACAAACAAACAAACAAACAAAAACAAAAACAAAATGACATCATCTCACTCTTACAATGAAATGGGGCTCCATGCCTTTTAGGGTGCTATAGAAATGTATCTCTTTTTCCTGACCCTCTGCTCGCTGTTCCAGAGGATGATGTGTAATGCACTTCACAGTTGGGCAGAAGTTCTGACCATTATGTCACTAAGCGGCTTTTCAATTTAAGGCATTTTCACCATCCAGAAGCTTTATCTGATCCCAGCATTTTTTATATGAAGATTTATTGTCTTGATAATGCCTTAAGAAGTTAAAAGTTCTTAATTTTCTTTTTTTTTTTACAAGAACCATTTCTTGTGTAAGCAGATTCCTAATACATTTTCTTCTTTTTGGTTGTATGCATTGAAAATGTTCACCTTATCTGAGTCTGAAACTTACAGTGTGGCATTGTTCTTGTACATCTGTTTTAAAAGGGTGTCAGATTATTTCACAAATTGCTCTATATAGAAAGGTGTGCTTCCAAATGATTTTCTAGGCCCGCCTACTCAAAAGAGATAGTTTTTTCCCCAAGTGTGACTTTGAAAGTTTATAGATATGGCTTAAAATTTTGTAGTCTTAGGTATATTATTTTTAAGGAGAATAACTACTCTTTTTGTAAAAGAAGACAATGTATGTGCCCAGATCTTGACAATAGGAAAGGATATCAGATTCAGGAGAGCATATATTATAGAATATACAGAAAATTCAGAAACCTCATTTTAGTAAATGACTTGCACTATTTTCTCCACCCACCTTATATTGAATCAGTATAGTGAACAAGTAAAAAGAGGCTTTATAAATATTAATCTTTCTTCATCCTTGTACCTCCCTGACACCCCTATGAACAAACAAGAGTTATGGCTAAAAGATAAAAGAAAAAATAAGCGACCTTAAATTCGAAAGTTGATTGCATTTTCATCTTACTAGCATTTGAAGATAAGTGGTCAGCTCTGAAGAGCATTCAGATATTGGTGTAATATTATAAGCTGTTATGTCATATAACCAACTTGCAGTTTGTTTAGGTTGAATCATTTTTCTGTTTCTGAAGAGAAGATTTGCATGGCTCCCTGGCAGACAAATCTCTTAAGAACTCCACTTTTCCATGTGCAGCTTTGATTTCTACCTGGCTGTCACTGTACTCCAAGTTCATCATCTGGGCAGAATCTTAACCTTCCACGTTTTGAAAGACTTAATTTCCCAACTCACAAACCACATCTTAAACATCTTCCAGTTAAATAATACGGTGCTAGTTAAGCTAAGAGCACAGATCCACACTAACGGCTCTCTTGTTTCAGGCTGACTCTGGGGTTCATGAGCAGCACTGCCTTTTTGTCTATGTGGCTCAGCAACACCTCGACCGCTGCCATGGCGATGCCCATTGCAGAGGCTGTAGCACAGCAGATCATCAATGCCGAAGCAGAGGTTGAGGCCACTCAGATGACTTACTTCAACGGATCTACCAATCACGGACTAGAAATTGATGGTATCGCATGTTGATATGGCCAATCTGGGGTTTAGTCATTAGAGCAATAGACATAAACTCAAGAATTCTAAGTTGTATTTTGAATTAACTGTCCATACATGCATGATGTGAATTTAACTTCCTCCCTCTATAGTTCTCAGTATCTACAAAAATAGTTTTCTATAAATATTTTACCTAAATTGTTACATTTCTATTCGCTTGCAAAAAGAAGAATGCCTTTTCTATCCCTCAGCCAGACTGATGGAACACTCTCTCATGTCTTTATCAGTAGACCTCCAGGTTACTCTTTCCTGTCCTGAAATGGCTTTCCTGCATAATACTGGGAATCTTTAATTCCTACATTCTGTTTGGATACAGCATCAAATTTCACTGTGATTATTTCTGGCTCTGACAAACTGATGCAGTGAAAAAGTGTTGGGAGAATATTTGTATTTATAAAATACTTTAAGATGAATGTGATGTTAGTACACAGTGAATTTTTAATTTTCAATTTCTACTAATGCTTCCATTTTTGCATCCACATACAGGCAAACCCAATGATAACCCCTTATTTACATTGTTTTTCTTTTATTTAATGTTTTGCAGAAAGTGTTAATGGACATGAAACAAATGAGAGGAAAGAGAAAACAAAACCAGTTCCAGGGTAAGGAATGTTGACATTTTGATTAGGATTTTTCCAAATTCTATTTTAATAAAATTATAACTGGATCAATTTGTTTTTCAGATGCAATAATGATACAGGGAAAATTTCAAGCAAGGTGGAGTTGGAAAAGGTACATTAATTTGATTCTTTCTAAATAATTATATACAAAATTATATTAGAGCTATAGTTAGATACATATGCATTTTAAAACCTGTCACTTGCTTCCTTCTCTATAAATTATTTTGCTTGACTAAGTAGTAGCATGGTGTAATGGTCTGATAAGCTTTCATGAACAGACGGGAATCGACATCCGGATAGGAACCATTTTATGCTCTGAAAATTGGTATCATTATTTTCTCTTTTTATCAGAATTAGGATAATGGCAGTTAGCCAAGGTAGTTTAAAGAAATATAATTCCAGTCTCAGAATATTGC